GGCTCATTTTTGATTTATTGTAGAGATGAGGGCTCACCAAGTTGCCCAGGCGGGTCTTGAACCCACGGGCTCAGGCAATTCACTCACCTCAGCCTCTCAAATGCGTGGGATTACAGGCTGAGCCACTGAGCCCGGCAGAATGTGACTATTTCAACCTAATAATTCAGGTGATCAGCATCTCTTGAAAAGTGAGAGAATCTGGCCAAACTGGTATAAATTCCCAATGCCTGAGTTTAAGCTTTAAATGGAGCATGCAATGTACCTCACTTCTTTTCATTACCTGGCTGACACTTCTGGGCATTTGAGCTTTTGACTTCTGCCATTTCGGTTGAAACCCAAGCACTTAGTTGAACGTGGTGGCATGTGTCTGTAGTTCCAGCTACTTGGAAGGCTGAGGCGGAAGGATTGCCTAAACTCAGCAGGTCGAAGCTGCGGTAGCGTGTGGTGCGTGCTACTGCACTCCAGCCTGGGTGACAAGAGTGAGACTCCAACTCAAAAAAGAAAAAAAGAAATCCAAACATCGTAGCATGACACAAACCATCCCATCCTCTCTGCTTCAAAATTTTACTTTACATTCCAGCTACAGCAGACTGTTGGTAGTTTTTGCACAGACAAGGGTATTTCTGACCTCTGTACCTTTGCCTAAGCTGTGCCTTCCTGGAAAGTCACCATCACCATGACCTTCATCCACCTAACCCATGTGCATGCTTCAAGTCCCTGCTACTCCAAGAACCTGGGTTTCCATGCCTTTTGGGCCTCCTGTCATGTCCCCTATATAACTCCACCACCATACTTTTCACAGTGTATATAACAATTTATTTCTTTTTCTTTCTTTCTTTCTTTTTGAGTTGGAATCTTACTCTGTCACCCAGACTGGAGTGCAGTGGCATGCTCACGGCCACTGCAACCTGTACCCGCTGGGTTCAGGTGATCCTTCTGCCTCAGCCTTACAAGTAGCTGGAACTACAGGCATGCACCACCACGCCCGGCTGATCTGTTGATTTATTGTAGAGATGATGTCTCTCCAAGTTGCCCAGGCTGGTCTTGAACCCTTAGGCTCAGGCATTCCTCTCATCTCGGCCTCCCAAAAATGCTGAGATTATAGGCATGAGCCTCCATGCCCAGCCTAACAATTTCTTTCTTTCTTTCTTTCTTTTTTTTTTTTTTTT